AGTCAAGAAAAATAATGAGGCATATAAAATTAATCGATGAAGAAGAAGAAAAAAAGAAGAGCGTCTGTGGTGCATGCCGTCGTATTTTTTATTCCTTGAAGAGAATCCGTCTCTTCATGCATCTGTCGATTTATTATTATTATTATTTGGTCAATGAATATGGTGGAGTTCTTTTACAGCTGTTTCACGTTGTCAATATATATATTTTTAAGAGTTTTAATAAAATGTGTGTTGATATCGCATCCTGATTTCATGGGTTTTGTTTCTAACATTTGAATTTGGTGCTCATCCCAAAGAAGCCAGATGCACACCGATGGAAGGACTTTTGACCAATTAGTTCATGTAACTTGTAAAACAAATTAAATAATCATTCAAACAATATTTGTCTTCGAGGTTCGACCGGAGGAGGAATTACCATTCTTAAAAGCATACTCTATTCCATGCATAAATTTATTGAAGGCTCCAAACACGTTTGTGCAATTTAGACGAAGCTCTAAGACGGACAAACAAACCAATCATTGTACATTGGAGGAAACTCGGTATTGAAGCAATCAAGCTCAACACTGATGGTTGTCTCAAAAACTCTTCGCATCTAGCTTTAGGGGGAAGTGTGACTAGAAACTATCTTGTTCATGTTAAGTAATAGCGTCTAATTATCGTCACTTCGCGAAACTAGTCGCGGATCGACCTCTGCCATGAGGTCATTGTGGAGATTGTCTCAAAATTTATTTAAGAGCTATTTAGGAACTTATATTCTTATAAATTCTATGAAGGAATAGAAATCCTTGTAAAATTCGAGTTAGCCCTAATTTAACTTAAAAATAGGAAGCAGTTCTTAGGTTTTATGTATTATCATCAAATAGAGGAAAAGAGAAGTTAAAGGAGATATGATCGATTTTTTCTCTTATAAACATTTTTTCATTATGGTGAATTACTGCAGTGTCGAGAGATGACGTAGTCTCATATTGAAGCGATCTCTATAAATCTTGCATGTTGTTGATTGTTTATTTTCTTTTTTTAAATTGATTTCTCTTGGTAGGATATAATTAGGGTTTATAACAGTTAATGTCTTGTTTGCCTACTAAGGATCCTATGGATCATGTTCCTCACGGGAAGTAAAAATTAAAACTATGTATACAAGATTGAAATTGTATCAACAAGGCTACATGATGGTATGGGCCGAAACAGATTCATCATCATCTATTTACCTTATTTCTAGTACTTCTTCTGGTCCATGGGAAACCCAATACTAATTGAAGGGTATCAAGTATTGACCAAAAAGAATGTCCCTAAAATAGATTGAATTAGTTGGTTACCCACGAGTGAAATTGCTTTTAAGTTGGGAGAAATGCAAACAAACATACATTGCGGAATAATTCTTTTCCCTAGAAGCAAATAAGTAAAGCGCACTTTCTAACAATTGTATATGCTAAAAATAGGGAAAAATTCATGTTTCCTACTTTATCTTTACCCTATTTCAACAATAACAAAACAACTTTCACATTTCAAAAATCAGATATTTTAACACACACACACACACACACACACACACACACA